CCCCCCCCCCCCCCCCCCCCCTTGTAATAATAGAGCATATGAGTATATGAATAGGTCTAAATTTCCATAGAAAGATTATATCATCTAACGAAAAGATCAGGTGAACAAAGGGTGTAATTAAAAAGGGAAAATGGTTATAAATTCCCCAAACATGTCAAACATTGATCAAAATTGTCCTTCCATTTACTGTAAAAATGATCGTGACATTATCTATCCGTTGAAAAATGCTCCTGCTCAACCTATGAGCTCAAGGTTGCCCTTAATGATCCTTTGTCATTAGAAGTATATGTGCGGTAAGAGTGCAAGTCATTATAAATTTAGTCCCAGTAAGCTTGACTTTTTTATACTGCTCCCCGGCCTCCCCCTGTCCCTTATCTTTCTTTTGTTTTGAACAAACGTGCAAAATCTCATCTCTTTTAAAATGATTTTTTTTTACAAATTGGTATAAAAATAAAAAGTACAAATTAAACTGTTCAAAACTCTATCAAAAGTTCTACAAAACAAGAGGTGATAGAATTTTTTTTAATCAAATGATCAATCAAAACATGCATACAAACATAAGTTATCGCGTCGTCGTAATAGTAAACAAGAATAAAGATATGGGACGGTGGGAGTATTAAACTAAACTTTGTACAAATATAATATGACATAAAAAATGTATACTACAAAAAGTTCCAAAATTAATATAATCTTATAAATGTGTATTTTTAACTTTCGTATGACATACGAAGTACAAATTACTAATGTTATAAGATAAAGACTCTGTTTGGCATTAGTTTTAGCATTTGACTTCAACATTTTGGAAATGATATCCAAGATTAGCTTTTAGCATTTTCATAGTTAATCTACATCACACAAAAATACTAAAAACACTAGTAGTAGTTGCTAACGTTGTTCCAAACGAACTCAAATTTAATCATGGTATGCAATATACATAAATTTGATGTATTAACTATAATCCTTATTATAATAATTGAAACTCATTTCCTTAAAAGGTTTTCATGTTTGTGTCTATATTACATGGCATAATTTGTGGGTGTTTCACTATGGTTATAAGTTGGTCAAAACTATTTATAAATTGGTAAAAACTACTTATAAACTGTTTTTAAGTTTTAACTTATAAGTAAGTTGATGCTTATAAGCTGTGACTTATAAGCTACTTTAAGTAAAAAAAATAAGTATGTCTTACGTACTTATTTTGAAGCATGTTTTTTTGTTTCTCCGTTTTGATTAAATAATTTACAAGCCTATCCCTAATATTTTCTGAGTTTCCCCAAATTACTCATCACTTTAGAAAAAAATCGAAAAATAGCTTATAAGCTAAAAACTAATTATTAGAATAAACATTAACAATAAACCAATAAGCACGAGTACATAGAAACACCCTTTTATATGGTATGGCGCAAGGCGAATCTATGCATCCATATATTTGGAATATTAGCTTTTGTCATCAATTATCCTATCCCAATCGTCCCCCTTCTTATTCGTCGCCGTCATCGTCCTCTTTGCCATCATCATCCTCTTCTTTGTCTTCGTCTTTATCTTCTGCGTCGTCGTCCTCTTCTTTTTCTTAGTCATCCTCCTCTTCCTCTTGATCTTCGTCCTCTTCGTCGTCTTCTTCGTCTTCGACCTCCTCTTTGTCGTCTTCCTTGTCGTCCTCCTCCTCATTGTCTTCCTCATCGTCGTCTTCCTTGTCTTCTTCTACGTCTTCTTCTTACATCATCACCATTCTTTTTCATATACAGAGTACTACATATGTTTATATAATATATAATTAGTATTATGCATTTCTTCTCGTCTCGTCTATGTGCACATTGTTTTATAATATCTAATATGTTCACAAATAATATTATAATATATTTTATTCAATTTTTTTAAGAAATACTAGGATATAAAAATTGTACGGATTCAATAGATTTTCGTTTCACCCCTTGCATTACACGAGTTAAAATACTTTTTTTTGACATGTTTTGTAATTTTGTACTCTTATTATTTCCATTAACTAGTATAATTGGTTACGAACATTTCAAATTTGTGTGCTTTGATTACCTTGATTGACTCTATTTATCTTACTCTTCTTTTACTTATTCTACTTATGTCTGTATAAATATAGGTGGTCTTTCCCGATAATCATCTCTTGCCAAGACTATTTACCTCTTCCCTTGCTCGCAAGTATGAACAACTATACGAAGAAAATGGTGTTAAATTTGTTAAGGTCCTCTTACCATCTCTTTAGTTTATATTTAACATTTATTGTTGTGTGAGATTACATCGTATGGTTTGAAATCTACTCACCCTTGACACTGAAATATGACATCCAGGGTTCTTCAATACAACATATAGAAAGTGGTCCTGATGGACGTGTAGCTGGAGTTAAACTTGGAGATCAGTCTTTCATTGAAGCAGACTTAGTAATGGAACTTTTTCTAATGACTAATACCCCCCATGCCATGTTCCATATTTATTACTACATGATTACTGAACATATATAGGGGGCGTTTCTCTGTGTTGGTGCTTATCGACTTATTGTTGATAAGCAGTTTTTAACTTATAAGCTGCTTATAAGTCAAATATTCTTTTGTGGAAGTGAAATGGCTTAAATGATAGATTAATCATTTGTAAATATTCATAAATGGTGAGGGACAACTTTGTGAATAATCTGGTCAAAACAGAGATATGAAAAAACTGGCTTAAAAAATAAGTAGCTAAGACCTATTTATTTTTTCTGGCTTATGAGCAGCTTATAAGTCAGCTTATAAGCACACCAAGACATGTAATTAACTGACTTATTAGTTAAAAACTGCTTATAAGCAGTTTTGACCAACTTATAAGCACAGAGAAACACCCACATAGTTAGTAAAGATGCTTATGAAATATCAATATCATTTCCTTCGTTTAAAATTCAGGTGATTGTTGGCATTGGAGCGAAACCTGCTGTCAGTCCATTTGAAAGTGTTGGCTTAAGTAACACTGTAGGTGGCATACAGGTTAGGGTCAACGGTCAAATTCTATCATGTTCTATGAGCACTGACGACCTTGAGTATCTATTCTCCAAACTCTTCTACATGCGGGATTGTAGTCCTATTTATGTTATCATTTTATTTTATATATAAGCACAAATTATTGTTACATAATGACAATTGACTTTCCTGTTCCGAGTAGGGGTAAGGTCTATATACACTCACCCCTCACTCACCCCCAAACCCTACTTTGTCGGATTTTACTGGGTTGTTTGTTGCTGCGTTTCGAGTAGTCTGTCCACCTGGTTTTCGTAACTATCTACATCCTTGTTTAGTTACATAGCCTTTATGTGCAATGCGGATCAAGTAGTTACCAGAACAAATTGAAGTAGGAATGAGGTTCTGTTGATGTTTTTTCTCAACATCAAAAAATGATTTAAGCCTTAAATTCCAGGTTGATGGTCAATTCAGAACAAAAATACGCGGTATTTTAGCTATTGGTGATGTTGCAGCATTTCCATTGAAGGTTTGCATTCTATTTTCCAGTTTTCCACATAAAAGTGTTACTCCCTCCGTCTATCTAATTTTCCCTTTTTGACTCTGCACGGCATTTAAGGAGAGTGGGAACATTATTAAGACACAGATTAAAAGGGAAATTGGGAAGATTAATAGGGAATGCAGGTAGTAGTTTAGTACTTAGATTCTTGCTTTAACCGTGGCTGACGGACGATGGGCAGATTTACAATCGAATTTCGCGAGTAGAGCATGTTGATCATGCTCGTAAATCAGCACAACATTGTGTAAAGGCATTATTGACTGCGCAGACTGACACGTAAGTTTGATATAGTTCCACTCTAAACGTGAAACTACTTCATTTTGTGGATTAGTTTAATAGTAAGTTCCCTTGGGTTCTGATGGAGTGTTATCCTCCTGCCTGATATCCAGATATGATTACCTACCATACTTCTATTCAAGGGTGTTTGAATATGAGGGAAGCCCAAGGAAACTCTGGTGGCAATTTTATGGGGACAATGGTAACGCTCTTGCTTTTGTGACAGCCTAGATTTCTTTCTGAGACACTGCATAGTATAGTGGTATGCTAATTCAAATGACATCATATGAACAGTTGGTGAGACTGTTGAAGTTGGGAATTTTGATCCAAAAATTGCAACATTTTGGATTGACTCAGGTACTCTGAAAATACTCAAATACCACTATGTGAGTGATTTAATAAATGGCCTAATGTTGGTGCTTTTACCTTTTTATTTGGGATGGAGAGCCTAGCTCTGCTAGATTGATGAGAACTTTAAAAGTTGATTGTTGTTATTTGAGCCTTGCAGGTAAACTGAAGGGGGTTCTTCTCGAAAGTGGAAGCCCTGCGGTATGTGGTCTTACATAATGAAATTGTCCTTGAATGAGATGAAAGGAATCTTCAAAATATGTTCATACTTGGGCAGTGTTTGTACAGAACAAATTCTTTTGCAAAGAAAATGAATTCCAATGGTAAACTTCCATAAAATAAACACCCTCCGTCCCAGAAAGAACTTCAGTGTTTGACTATACAGAGTTTAAAAAGTTTGGATGAAATTTGTTTAGAGAGAGAACTTACCTTTCAAGGAAGAAGGAGAAGTGAAGTTTTTTGGGACATCTAAATAAGGAAAGTTTTAAGTTCTTTGTGGGACCGAGGGAGTATATTAGTATATGTGGGAAAACGATATTCTCAAATCTCAAGTGTCTATAGTTGTTGATAAGTTGTCATTACATATTTACATGCTTGCAAAATAGTACGGATTACTAGAAAACACATCTTTTCAAGGAGGTGGAAAATGATTTTTTCAAGTTCTAACATAAAAAAAGATCCACCTCTTTTCAGCTGAAAAGAATTTTCCAATTCAACTTTTGGATGATTATAGACACTTGAGTCTTGAGAATATGGCTTGCAACACTAAAAATGTACTACAAAACATATCTTCTCAAGGAGGTGGAAACTGATTTTTCAGGACCCAACACGAGGAAATATTCTCATCTCAGCTGAAAACAAATTTTCAAGAGAAATTGTCCCCTACCAACACAACAAAGCAGGAAAATGATTTTCCTGTGTACAAAACACGGCCTTAGTTTATTCCATTTTTTCTAACAATTCTTATCTTGAGAGAATGTTACCCCTATCCTTTGGATATTAATCAAGCATAAAAGAGTAAAGTAGTTTTTTGAATTTTATATTCACTACTGCATTTTCTCTTATAATCTTTTAGGAATTTGAACTGCTTCCTAAGCTAGCAAGGAATCAACCACTTATTGATAAAGGCAGACTCCAATGCGCATCATCTGTTGAAGCGGCTCTAGAAATTGCTCAAGCTTCCCTCGGCCATGTAACATTCGTTTAGTCCCCAAGGTTAGCCACCATTTTCAATGCACAATGACATCTGTTAACAAAAAAATTTCCTGAATAGTAAAATTCAAGTAGTTTGAAAATATTTAATAAACTTTCCGATTCCAAGAGCATATTTATTTCATGCAGATTATAATGAAAGCAACATATAATCCCAGTGAGAGTGGAATGATACAATAATACGGAGTACATTGAAATAACATATGTGCCTTTTACTTTTCTGATGTTGTACTGCAGATTGAATTCTTGTATTGCTAAGCAAATAACAATTGATAGGTTTAACAATTAAGCTTGAAGTTGAAATTTATATTTCCCAAATAATAAGAGGTATTGCCTTATTTATAGGCTCAAGCTACTCTATGATATTCCTAAACCGACTACGTCTAGTAATATTAAACTAACTAGGACTAATAAGATACACAAACAAACCCTGTAAAATCGTAGAGAGTGAGGTTCCGGGAGGGGAGTGAAATGCAAACATTACCCTTAGAGCATTGGAAATACCCGTGAAGCCCCGGGGCTTCAAACTGGGGCTTCAAAATTTCTCTCTGCCACGTCAGCTTTAACTTACCTTATAGATTCACTGGAAATGGGTTTGAAGCCCCGGGGCTTCAAACTGGGGCTTCAAACCTTCATTTTTACATTTTTATATATACATCTTCTAAAACTAAATTAATAAAATATAATTAATTTATTATTTAAATTAATCGCAATGAGACTAGTGCATTAAAAAATTACATTCATTAAAAAAAATATTACATTCATAAAAAAATACATGCATAAAAAAACTACATTCATTAAAAAAATTACATTCATAAAAAATACATTCATAAAAAAAATTACATTCATTAAAAAAATATTACATAAAAAAACAACACTACAAAGAAATTACTAGTTATTCGAGCGACTAAAGATATGTTCGATCAAATCCGCCGTTAGTGCATTGTGAATCTCTCGGCTTCGAATTTCTTGGCGGTTTCTTCGTTTCTTTTCTTTGTTGATTTCTTCGTACATAGGCACCTCCTCTTCCAGGTTGTATTGACAAATCGCAGTCCCGTTGTCCTCTATGATCATATTATGAAGAATAATACATGCGTACATGATATTCCTCATTTTCGTTTAAGAATAACATTTCGACGGTCGATCTAGAATGTGCCATTTACCCTTCAAGACCCCAAATTAAAGGCTCGTTCAATATCTTTTCTCGCCGCCTCTTGAGCTTTTTTTGTAGGTCTGGCGTTTAAGACCCATTGGTTCGGAGAGGGATTTGATAATCGTGGAATAATTTGGATATATTCCATCGGTCAAATAATATCCACGCTTGTAAAGCGTCCCTTTAAGCTCAAAAGACGAGTCAGGTGTGGTCTCATTAATCCAATCATCAAAAACAGGCGATTGATCGAGAACGTTGATGTCGTTGTTCGAGCCTGCGACACCAAAAAAAGCGTGCCAAATCCACAAGTCATTTGAAGCAACAGTTTCGAGCATGATAGTAGGCTTGGCATGATCTCCCCGGGAGAATTGACCGTGCCACGCAGTGAGACAATTTTTCCATTCCCAATGCGTGCAATCAATACTCCCAAGCATACCGACAAAGCCGTGTTTAGCGGCATGCCTTGCCTGCAACTGCTGAATGTCGCTCGCTGTAGGCTTGCGTAAATATCTTTTATGATAAATTTGAATAATAGCTTTAGAAAATTTATAAACACAGGACCTGATGCTCTGAGCCGACATCTTTAAGTATTCGTCGAACATATCAGATGCCGTCCCGTACGCCAACTGACGGAGCGCGCAGTGCACTTTTGGACACTACTAAACCCGCGTCGGCCTTTCGCATCAAAGCGTTGGGTGAACCAAGGAACCTCGCGTTCAACATCGGCGAGTATGCGTAAAAAGAGATGGCGACTCATCCGAAAACAATTACTAAAATCCTCCGGTGTAACGGAGTATTAAAGTAGTCGTTTAGAAGTGAAGCGTGGGCGGCCGCTCGATCCCGGTTTAAACGTTGTCGTCGGGTTCGTCGTCAGGAGGATTCATCTTCTTCTTCTTCGCCTTCTTCCCACCATTGAATACAACTCGTGACGAAACAACGAAAAATGAGAGCTCTTTTTTCATCGTCGGATGAAGATGATCCCATTTTTAAAATATATTTTATAAATATTTATAA